TTTATCCTTTTTTTATGATAGAAATTTTTTTATGATGCTTCTTGTGTGTTTTCTGGTGAATTAGTTCTAAAGGAATCTCTATATTTTCAAGGTTTTATGTTAAATAGGAAATTTGGATCCTTTTTTCCATGTTATATTTAGGGTTTTATGTTCATGATTCTATTTAGTGCATCACTCTTTATTATTTCAGTTGAATCTCTATTATGATATGCCAAGAGATTGATCAGTTTTGTTCTATTTTCTAGCTTAATATTTATCCTCCACTATCATATACTTACTCTCTTCTTTTTTTTCTCCTGAAGCTGCAAATTCTTGTTATCATTTTTTTTTCTTTCTCTTTTTCTCCTCTTTTTATAATTTTGAATTATCTTAAAAATATTGGTTTTGGTTTTGTGTAGTTTGCTTATTTATACATATTACTAAATAGCTCAATTTGATGCTTTCTTAGCATTAAAAACTTTTAAACTGTTTTGCTTCTTTTCTCCAGGAAGATGTGGGCACAGACATGGAAGATGGAGATCTACAGCTAGATGAGGAGGCTACTGAGCATGAAATTCAAGAGAAGGAACCAAAATCCTCTAAGGAAGTTTTAACTACTTCTATGGTTGATTTGTGGTGCAAATCAATCCAAGAAAATGGAAGCTTAAGTGCGGTTCGTTCCCTGATGAGGGCTTTCAGGACAGCATGCCACTATGGTGATGATGGGCAGAACGAGTCTACAACAAAGCTTAGTTTAATGTCTAGCGCTGTATTCAACAAAGTAATGTTGACTGTACTTAATGAAATGGATGGAATACTAAGAAGTTTGATGAAGCTTCCTGCTTCTGGTGGAAAGAAAGAGATCATAACAGATTTAATGGCCACAAAGCATTGGAAGAGTCATGGCCATTTAGTAAAGTCTTACCTTGGAAATGCTCTCCATGTTTTGAACCAAATGACTGACACACAAATGATATCATTTACTTTACGCCGGCTTAAATATTCTTTGGTGTTTTTGGCTGCTTTTCCTTCACTCTTGAGGAAATACATTAAGGTACAAGTAACCCGTTGTTCTTCCAATCAATGTTCTCCACAGTATTCATTTATTACATCAATGAGCACTACTGATTTTAAGTCTATTGCATATGTCTTCTAATGAATATTGATTGTGATACCCTTTGGTTCTCTACAGTAATTCTATTATAGCTCAATTAGATAAACAGATAGACAGCAGACAACTAAAGCCTTTTTGAATCTTTCATGATTTATATTTTATAGGGACAGATTTTGCCCCCTTCCCCCCTTTACATTCTGGGACACATAACTTGTTCATTGATTTGTCAACTAACTCTCATAATGATTTTGTCAGGTGGTCCTTCATTTCTGGGGTACTGGTGGAGGTGCTCTTCCTGTTGTTTCATTTCTATTTATGAGAGATTTATGTATCCGTATTGGGTCTGGCTGCATAGATGAATGCTTCAAAGGAATATATAAAGCCTATGTTTTGAATTGCCACTTTGTAACTGCCATGAAACTTAAACACATTCGTTTTCTTGGCAATTGCATCATTGAACTTCTTGGTGTGGATCTTCCAACTGCATATCAACATGCCTTCATTTACATCCGGCAACTGGCTATGATTTTAAGGGAGGCACTTAATACAAAAACTAAGGTGCTGTTTTATTTGTCCGGTACATGCTATTTTCTTATTAGGCACTGTAAGAAGTGCCTCTCAACAATCTTTTTAAATTTAATTTGTAGTTATCCTAACAAACTGGTTATATTTAGATTTTAATTACTGTTGCTTCTTAGTTCTTACAAGTTTGGCATAATTTTCTATTATTTTCTTCTTTGCTCTTTTCAGCATCATCTGGTTCTTGAACCCTACATGTTAAGCCTTCAAAGTTCTGTTATTGTCTGTTACTGTTACAAGGCACTATTGATATTGTTGAAAAAGTAGAGTCAATAATAAGGGTACGTTGGTGTAGACAGGGGTTGAGAAAATATAGAAAGGCTGTAGGTTGAAGAATGAAATTAGCACAAATTTTCTCTACGCACCAGTATTAGACTAGAGGGAAGAGTATTAAATTGTGCACCTGTCAAGTTTCAAACACCCCTCAACCCTGATACAATCAATACCTAGAAACAATCCACCAATAAATCACTGTTGAATTTAGTGCATTAGCCTTTTATTAATATTCTTGTTTGATTGGAGCTTTTCACAAATTGAAATGATATTTTTGTGCTTTTCTGGCGCTGCTTTATGGTCCTTATTTTTCTCTTTCCCGACTGTATTCTTTAGGAAGCTTTTCGCAAGGTTTACGAGTGGAAATTCATGAACTGTCTTGAACTTTGGACTGGTGCTATCTGTGCCTACAGTTCAGAATCTGATTTCACACAACTTGCATATCCACTGACCCAAATAATTTCTGGGGTAGCCCGTCTGGTCCCCACAGCCAGATATTTTCCCCTAAGGTTGAGATGTGTAAGAATGCTGAATCAGATTGCAGCTTCTACCCATTCTTTTATACCAGTGTCTATGCTCCTTTTGGACATGCTGGAGATGAAAGAATTGAATAGACCCCCTACAGGAGGTGTTGGCAAAGCTGTTGACTTGCGCAGTATACTGAAGGTATTCATAACATGAATCAAATTTTCAATGTGCACTTTTTGAGTTCCACCTAACCTTGAGGAATTCATCCATATTAGGTTAGCAAGCTGACCCTAAAGACACGAGCATTTCAAGAGGCTTGTGTTTTTTCTGTGGTTGAAGAGCTTGCTGAGCACTTGGCACAGTGGAGTTATTCCGTTGCATTCATGGAGTTGTCTTTTATTCCACTTGTGAGGTTGCGTAGCTTTTGCAAATCAACCAAGGTAGAGAGGTTTCGGAAAGAAATGAGGCACCTTATACGCCAGGTATTTCTATAAAAATGGTAAAAAATGCAATGGTGGTACTTGGATTTACTTGTAAGAAATGAGGCACCTTAATCATTGGCATGCAGCAATTTTCATAGCATTTATTTCTAATTTTTCATTTTTCCACATTCAGATTGAGGCTAGTTCTGACTATGTGAATGGGAAGCGCATGTCAGTTTCCTTTTTACCTAATGACCCTTCAGCAGCATCTTTTCTCGAGGTTTGAACAGTTTCCCTTTACTTCTGTGGAATGAGTTTTGACTGTTTATATGTCCCTAATTTGGACGAATGAGTCAGGGCATGACACTCAATTGTGGTATCATATTTATATCAAAATTATACAGTAAGATAAACTGGATCTGTACAATAACGGATGTACCTAAGTTACTAAGAAAATAGATACCTATAAATATGTACACTAAATAATGAGTACCTTTTTCATTCATTTATTTTCTTAAATTCTTCCAAGTTCTCTGTCTCTCCTCTCTTATGATGACATGAAGTCTTTTTATTAATATTTAATGTTTTACAGTTTACATGTTACTTTCTTTTCCTTTAGTTTTTTATATCAAGCGTTTGGGCTTTATCTTCCCTCCTATTTCATGCCTCGGAATTATTGTACTTTATTTAAATGCAATTTATATTTGAGGTTTGAAAAGAGTGAAATTGATCATATTAGGATGAAAAAAAGTCGGCTTCTAGTGCACTGTCAAAGTACGTCATGACACTCCGCCAGAGAGCAGAACAAAAAAATAATTCATTAATGGAATCCAGGTATGAACTTTGAACTCAAGTTCAATCACAGGCATTGCTATATCCATCAAGTAGGATAGAGGTTTCTAACATAAATTGAGATTTTGCAGTGTTATTGTGGGAGAAGAATCATCCAAATTTGGGAATGAAATATCAGAAAGTGATGAAGAGGATGCAAGAAAGAATGAGGAGGGTGCCGCCGTCTTTAGTTCATCCTGGTTACCTGGAAATGACTCTAAGTATGTTTCTCTCTCTCTCTCTCTCTCTCTCATTCTCTAGGAAATTCAGTTGCATACAATTATCATTCAGCACTTATCCAGTGGTTGGAAGGAGAACTTTGCCAGTCCATAATAAACAATAATTCTACTTAATTCGAACAAAATTGTTTCTAATAGAGAATACCTGTTGCACAAGTTTCTTTTTTGTACGTCTGTCTGAGCATGCTTTGCTTTCAGAATTAAACAACCTACAGAAACCAAAAGAAAGAGGAAAAAACAGCAGAAAGAGAAAGCCATTGATGACGATGTTGTGGAGGACTTGGTACTTAGTTCTGACGAAGATTTTCCTTCTAGCCACAGCCCTTCTGAGAAAAATGACAACATAGATCATTTACCTCCAAAACAAAAACGCAAGCAGAAGCACAGAACAAAAAGGTTGAAAAATAAATAAATAAATCTGGCTTGGAAGGGAAATATTGACTTGTCTAGTTAGCGACCTCTCTCTATTCTGGATTCATACTTCTATGAGTAAAGTATGAGAGATAAAAGTTTTGATAGTTTTATCAATCGTTTCCACAGTACCCGCGAGGTAAAGACATATCTGAATGTAATGGCAGCTGCAATTATATTTTTTTTACATTATTCCATTGTGAATGGAAAATGATATTGTGGAGCATAATGGCAACACCATTCACTATTTTTACGAGTGTAATTTGTTTGATAATAGACTATTGTTCTCAGATGGAATGTGTGGAATTACCCTTCGCTCTCCTTTATTTTTCTTTGATCTGTTATAAAATTGTAAATGTCTAACTTGTAAATTACTGTTTGATTTTTTTTAATTAAATTTAATACATTTTGAAATTAAAAGTATGGAAGAATGTTTGGAAACAATTCTAGAATTTAATTTCGACACATATTAATCAATCTTTAGAAATTTGATTTTGGTCCTCTGGTAGCGAGTTGTAAATCACTTGAAAAGTTTCTAAAATGACTGTCGAAAATTTAGTTTTGGAATATTCAAATTTCAAAATATAATATTATTGCTTGTACAAGATAGCTTTGTAGCTTTAACCATGCCTCATTATAACAATTTTTGGTAAACCAATTTGTGTAGGATGTGTTTGACTGAGTAAGTAAATATTTTTAAAACATTGCCAAACAAATTGGCCAACGTACTAGTTCAAAGTTAAAAATTGAAACATGATCGAATTGACATTGATGTTGATATTAATATTATTGAAACATTATATTGCAGTTGTTTCCCTATAAAGTGTTGATCATGCATTTGCGATGGAGCGTATCAATTAATTAAATTAAATCAATCTAGTCCATAAAATCCCTCTCCCTCTTGTCTTCTACGCTGAACTGCTCTCTGCATTTTATAGGAAGTGTTTTTTTTTGTCGTTAGTTGGTTCAGTTTTCATGGATTCTGGACTTGTTCTATTGTCCCATGCTTGTTCAGTCACAACTGGTACCTATCTCTCTGCTTTAATAACTAGTTACTTTCTTCCTCCATTTTTCGTCTAGTTCTTTGTTCAATTTTTCATTACAAAATTATTTGCTGACTTTGGTAATTGTAGGTGGAAATCTCTGCTGGAATATACATTCCGCCAACAATATTTACTATGCAAGTATGTCTCACATATTCTCCTCTTTCTTTAACTAACCTTTATTATCATTACTTCTTGTTTTGTTCATCTGTTAAGTGAACTGTATTGTAAATCTTGTTTGAACAAATTTTTCAACAAATACTTTTATAAGAAAAAATAAGTTAGAGAAAAAGCCAATTTTTGAAAAAATCAGATGAGAAAAATCCTTCAAATTAATTTATGCATAAATTAGTTTTATCTGATAACAAAATTATTTTATTTTATGTTATTGTGTTTTATCTTATGAAAAAATTATACAATCAGAACCAGCAATATTTTAACTTTTTTGTACTATTACTTTGCAAATATTGAACCTCCTCGTAGAAAAATATATAAGAATTTGTGCGCTTTATTTATTTTCTTTTAAACAGTAAAATATTTGTTTCTTTGAATGTTTTGTTTTATATCTTGCTTGTTAAATCTAATTTAGGGGCAACTATGTTATTTGTAAGGGTTATCTTTAACGTCGTTTGCATTGTATAAGTGTTTATTAAATAATATTAATTTGCTAATAGGAATTTTATGTAAGTGGATTTATTTTTCTCAATTAAAAAAACTAAAATAAAAATCAATCATTAAAAGTAATTTCCACTTTGTTTTTCACAGGCATTAAGCATAACTTCATCGTCGTTCCTTGCAATAGAAAAACTATCAAATATATCTCAATTACTTTTTATTGATGTGTTACAAGTGGGACTCCAAATATGTCATTTATCTTTAAATTTGTAAACTATCTTTTAAATTCATTGATGTTTTGAATTTTTAAATACTTCAAGCTGTGGTACCTCAGATGTTTATCTCAATGTATATCAATGGTGTGAATCAATTGTTTGACTTTGAAATAGACAAGGTATGAAACTTATCATCACAAATAAATAATTTGGATCAATATTAAGTTTTTTTTAATCTATTTCGGGCTTATGTATTATTCAACTAAAAATATGATAATGATCAAATTCTTATCTAGTTTATCCAAAGTTGAATATTTGAAAACATATAAAAATGTGTATAGAAGAGCATTTGTTCAATCATAACAATTTGAGCATCTGATATGATTTTAACTATCAATCCATTTTTATATTTTAGTTTATCAAGCCTCCCAAATTATTATAGTCTTTGATATAGTCAAAAAGATGCAACCTTTTACAATTTACAATTTCTTTTTGTATGGTTTGTCTTATTAATAATCCTATGTTACATGTTTTACTGCAGATGAATTAATCATATCTTCCATTAGCATTTAGACAATTATCCATTAAAGTTGTTGTTATTATCTTTGCATCATTTTTAACTCTGGTATCATATAAATTCATTCATTTCTATAATGATATTATTTTGCAAAAGCTTCATTGAAAAGGTAAAAGGAAGGTTATGTTTTATTCTTTTACAGAGTATTTGGCTAAACTAGATAATAGGTTCTTAGTCATTGATTTTGAGACTTGCATCGATCTTTTTACTATGGACTAATTATTCAATCGATGTGAGTTTTATATGTAAACTTGCTTGTTTTCCCTTTATAATGTTTAAGACATAAGTATATAAAGATAACAAAAAAGAATCATGTGCAATAGGTAGAGTTGTTGATGGTGATGGGATGATTATTCTAGTTAAAGCCCTAACATCCAATGTCAATAACGACTCATCTCTATTTGTCTATCCCTTTGTGCCATCAAATGGATTATTATACAAGGTTTCGTGTGTATCATTAGGTTTGCCTGTGAAAGGTGAATCCCACCATTTTTTCAACCTTAGAGAATACTTAAAGCAAATGGAATATGATACAAATCAATAGGCTTATTAGGCTTATTTTTCTTTTATCAAGATGTTTATTACATATTATCTAAAAATAAATTTTAATGCACATACTATTCGAAAGAATTTTACATGTAGTATTTAGTGTCATATATATATATATATATAAAAGTTCATATGGTTAAACTTTGACTCATCAATTTAATTGAGTGACTCTAATGTAATACTTAAATTGAGTCGGTGATTAGTAATACTAAATTTGATAATTAAAAATAAAGATTTTCATTAAAAATAAACATATTAAATTACATTAAAAATAGATATGAACTCTCATTTAATACATTGAATAAATTTTTATATATTATTTTTTAGTGCTTAAATTTACATAACTTACTTTTAGATAACATACTTTTAGATTGACTTAAGTTAAATGAAGTTAAGTCAACAATCTAACCATGTTTAGGACTACATACAAACAAATATTATATATTTATAAATGGGTTTCAACTAACTAAGGCTAAACGACCATTGTGGTTCACTTTTAGAAACAATATACTAAAATGGGGCTGTTTTGAAATATTTTACACCTTTGGGGCTGTTTTATTGGGTGTCGCTATGGCCCATAGCGACACCCATGACACGTGGCAAATTTGGGTCTGATTATAAGTCATGAACGTCATAGCCTATAACGCCTTAATTCGGCTAATAGTAAAGTCGTTATAGCCTATAACACAACATTTATATAAATAATATAAAAAATATAATTATAAATTTTAAAATAGAAAAAAAAATATGTGAAGAAAAAACGAATAAAAATAACGTAATATAAGAAAAATAAATAAATTTTGATGAAAAATAATAATTAAAGTATAAAATAAAAATAAAAAAAATGTGGGGCGCTATGGCCCATAACGGGACTCAGGCGCTATGGCCCACAACGCATGTCTTATAATATTTTGAAAATATAAAATTTGTTAAATAATTTATAAAAAAATTTAGGATAAAAGCGAAAAAAAGAATTGAAATAAGAAAAAATAAAAATTTTAAAAATTAATTAATATAATGTGAAAAAAAATTTAAAAACGAAATAAAAATGAAATAACTGGGGCGCTATGGCCCATAGCGGGAGTGAGGCGCTATGGGCCATAGC